AATTCCAATGCTCCATTTTCTTCCACTATAAATAGGGAGTGATATATTTGTTTCAAGGTTTGAAAAGTTTATAATATTTTTAAGTTATTTAGTGAAGTTATCATTTGGTATTTCCTTTGTACCTTAAAAAAAGAACATAAAAGTCAAAAGAAGAGCCTTTCATGGTTGTTTCTTCTTAAAGGAGGATTACAATCAACTTTAGAAGTATTGATATCCCTATTGTGTAGATAACGTTGCCATACCATGATATCATAGACCTCACAAGAGTGAGAATTTCCATTTAAGGGGTTAAGTTGACTTCTACAAAATGACATTGTTGAAGAAGATTCTTGAAGATATGTATATATTGAGTTACTGATTTGTTGATTTTCATCTTTTGTGTGATGAGTTTTTCTTGTACATAGGCTTGAGTGACTATATTACTTCCAAATACGTATTTTCAAGGGCCAACCATACTTCATTAATTATCTTGTATGCTTTAACATGAGTGATTATGTCACTTGCAAAGTACGTATTTTCAAGGGCCAACCATGCTTTATTGGCTACCTTATATGCTCCAACATGAGAAAAAATTGAATTTTCTACAGAATCCCAAAATGCTGCTAAAGCAAAATGATCATTTCTTTTCCAAGTAAGGATTTTAGTTTGATGAGTTGTTAGTGATGTTGTTCTTACATCCACTTCTTAAATTGGTGTTGGTTGTATTTTTTTTCCTAAAACTACATCCTACATATTTTTCATTTTAAACTTCATCAAAATCTTTTTCTTTTAGATGGAGTACCATGAGCCATCAAACTTAGGCCACTTCTCTGTAGCAAGGTTGCTTCAAGCCATTTTTCTTTTGAAGATAGAAAAAAAAAAAAAAAAATTTATTGGTGCCCTAACTTTCTATGTAAAATATCTTCTACAAAGCTTTTTTTTTTCTTGTCTTATTTATTTTATTTTTAAGTTTTGTATTATAAAAACTTTTTCAAATCTTTGCTTTGATATCATATTAGAACTTGGTGAATTCAAGGATTTTATATATTATCATGTAAAAGTAGTTAAAAAATCTATTGTATATATTATTTATTCTGTTAAAGGAGGTGAAACAAATACTATTGTGTCTTCTTGACAAGGTGCAATAATTTATTCTATTTTAGCTATTATAGATGAATTGATTAATCATTAATCTTAATTCCAACAGATACACTCAATTTGTGAAAGGACATATTAAATCAATAAGAGGAGATAATTGATCCATACTAAGAGATATTTCATGAATAGGAGAAAAAATCTATTTATGGATTGTTCTTGTTGTTTATGATACTAACCTCCCATTTCTTTATTTTGAATCAATGCACCAATATTTCTTTGACACAAATAACATAAAAGAACAACTTCAACCAAAATTCAAGTTTGTACAAGAACTCATACTTACTATACCAATAATCCACACTTTGGCTACAATTTCTATCTCATATGAAGCAATCACATCATTAAGAAGTTCTTCTCATTTAACTACTTTTGCATCAAAATTTGAATCATTCCTTCCATCATTTGGAGCAAAAATTGACAAACAACAATCTTATAATGAAGCACTTTCTTCTATGGATTTTACTTCATACAAAGAGATGATGGATCAAGACTATCATTCACTAATTAAGAACAATATATAGGATTTAGTTTTGAAACCAACACACTATAAGCTTATTCAAAACAAATAGATTTATAAAATTTAATACAAATCAAATAGCACAATTGATAAGGATAAAGCATGTTTAGTTACACAAAAACCTAGTGTTGACTTTACTAAGACATATTTCCCTGTCATTTGTTTTGAATCTATTTGAACTATCTTTGCAATTATTACTGCAAAAGGCATGCACCTCTAGCAGTTCAATATCAATACTGCATTTTGCAATAGAGAATTAATGGAAGAAATATATATGATGCAACCTTAAGGTAATGTTGACCCAAAAAAACCCTTGTATTGTTGTTATTTAAACAAAAACATCTACAACTTATATCAATTTGCTCGCCAATGGAATATTTATATTTTTGCTTTCTTCAAACAGTTCCAATTACTCATTAGCAATGTTGATTCTTATATTTATTGTAACAATGGTGATATCTATATAATAATTGGCATCTACATTGACAATAAAATCATTGCATTACTTCTTCTATACTATATCCACGACATCCTTTAATATCTAAAAACCAATTTCAAAGTAACAAACAACCTTGTTGATTATTTTGTGGAATTGCAAGTGGAATAATGTACCTCTATTGGCTCAATCTTCCTTCACCAAGAATGCTACATCATTCACATACTTGTTTGTTTTGACTTACATGATACACATGAAGTATCTATAGTTGTGGACACTCATGCTAAATTATAGAAATCAATAGACTCTATTAATCCAAAAGACTTTGTCTCCTATCAATTGATTTTCGACTCTCTTATTTATGCCACTATTATTACAAGATTTGACATAAGTGGTGCTATAAATAAAGTTTCATTATTTCAAGAAAAACCTCATCAAAATCACTAGACAATGGTGAAGTATGTAATGCAATATCTTAAACAAACAAAATACTATGGCCTCTATTACAAGTCTCATTTCAACATACCAAGATTAATTGGCTATGTAGATGCCAACTTTGGTGGTGATTTTGATGATAAGAAAAGTTACACTGGTTTTTTCTACACTTTTGGTTCTACCACCATCCTATAATGCAGCCATAAACAAAGATACATGACCATCTCTACTATAGTTGCAGAATTGATACTTCTAGCCAAATCTACAAAAGAAACTATATGACTGTGCCAACTTCTCCAATCCCTTGCCATGACACAACAACAATCGATTGTTGTTCATTGTGACAATCAAGCTGCAATCCCTTGTAAAGAATCTTGAATATCATCAATGCACTAAGCATGTCAACATGAAGTACTTTGCCATTTATGAGCAAAACTTGATGGATTTTTAGTACATTCACATGAATGATCAACTCGCAGACATTCTAATCAAACCATTACCACATGATCAGTTTGAATGACTCCATCACCTTCTTAGACTTTGACCATTTTAAAAGAATGAGTAGAAGAAGATGGATTAGCAATTTTTGTAGAATGTTCACAGATGAGTGGGAGTGTTGGGTGAAATATCCATTTACATTCTACATTCATTACATCTAGGGTTCTTCAAAATTCCGCCTTGAAGTTCGCTGTTCAGTTCAAACTAAAGAGGTTTGCTTTCTTTCTGTAAATAAATAAAGGCTTGCTTTCTGTTAAACAATGAGTGTATATGAGAATAATTGAATTGCTTCACCCCGGCCGGGATTGCACGGCCGACATCGCACATGACTCCACTGTCATTAGATAGTGCCTTTCGACATAACAAGCTGGGTGCTCCGTGGTAGGTGCACCTCAAGTCTTTTTATTATATACCAATAGAAACACGAAGTTTTGCATCCGTTGCTACACAAGCTGGGTGTCACCCGGTGGAATGCAGCTCCAGATTGGGTCTCCTCCTTCCCAGGCAGATCTGGGTGTGGAGTAAATCACCGACAGCATTCGCCGTCGAGGATTTATCATTCAGCTCTAGCTCTACGATACCTTCAGAAAGGAGGACGCCCCCGCTGACTACCAGAAACAGCACAAAGCGTTCGGCAGTGCTGACGAATCAGGTTGAGGTTGAACTCGATCGCCGCAACCGGTCGTCAAAAGTGACAAATCACCGCATGATCTCTTACAGCCCGATAGATGATTCGGTTGGACGTCTGTCGTACAAACTACGTCGATACTGAAGTTCCCCTCCCCCGGATGACGCACGGTGGTTTGTTGGATCAAGTTCATCGTAGATCTGACGACTCCCGCATGCCATGAGTACTCACCAGATCGTGGATGGGTTCTGAATCGCCAATTGATTCAATCGCGCTCCACTTCTTCCAACTCTTCCTACGTTCTTCCTACACGCGATTCGATCCTTCGGGCCGCTTAATTCCCCGCTCATATCGTGGATGTCGCTGCCGGATGCTGGGGTCTGGGTGGCTTGGCAAGCTCCGCCTCTATGACCCAGTGACGTTCCCGTACTCTTTATTTTCTTGTTGGGTTTTGAATTTCCGCTTAGATTTCGCTGAAACTAAAATTAATAGAAGCAGAATTAGTCGTACAGTTGACGGCGTGGAGAACAACGCCGCCTCTCGCTATGATCTATCGCGACCTACTATGGCCTAGAATCGGCACTGGCTGTCTCAACCGCGCGCATGTCTACGAATCCCAGATCGGACCGTAAGCAGGGATC